CAATTTACCATGCTTTTTCTGTATTGTATACATTTATTTTTCTTGTTTTTATATTTGTAAAAACAAGTCTAAAATTCCGCTACCACTAACCCTATGGTGTGAGTGAATACACCACAAGTTACAAGAGTTTTACTGAGTTGCACCAAATTCAAAATAGCAGATTTTGAGATTTGCATTTTATGCTAACATTTTCGAATCTCCCAATATGTTCAAATTGTATATCTTTAGAAAGCTCTTTTATTGCTGATTAATATTCACATGAGAAGTATGATCATAAAATCAACAGAATTTGTGTTATTTGTAATTAAATGTTGTCCAATTTGGTGAGAAATAAACAACCTTATTTTTGGATTTGTTTACATTTTTATTATACAACAAATAGATTTTTGTATGAAAAAAAGTGACCGAATGAAATATATATATATATATATATATATATATATATATATATATATATATATATATATATATATATATATATATATATAAAATGTTATTTTATTTATGATAACTGGATTTTTGCTGTTTATCTTATTCAGTTTCCATCGTTTAATACTGTGAATGTGAAAAATGGTGATTTTTATCACAGTTGCCATCAGTTTTTGGCCTTTTGACTGAGATCAAAATTTAGTATCTTTTCTTATCAACTTTACCTGATTCTCTCTCAGTACTTCTATCTTCTATCTTTCATTTTCACACAGTAGGCTGTTGTTTCTGCAGTAGATGGCTTGTCAACCAACGCTGTAGGACCCACTACCCAGTCTGTCCTCCTATTCAACCCATAACTAGGAGTAGAAGAGATGGATTCATACTTTTCTACCAAGTATTGTCTTTTTCCCACTCTTCCCATGTGATCAAAACAGAATAGTCCATTATTTTGGAGGTACTGGCAGGGTGTAACAGTTGCGTGAACTAACTAAAGGGAGAGACCAGCACAATTATAATAGGATAGCACTAATATTTATATTCTACTCTTATTGCCAAATATGACATTGTTGCTGCAATCATGTAGCCAGGGGTTAATAGTCATAGTTAAGGCTTAATATATGCAAAATGTCTTACATTTTATTGCAAGTATTTTTGTTATTTTATAAGTCTAGGACTGTATAATTTTTTCCCCTCTCTAAACATTAGCTGTTTCTTTACTTTACACTATTTTTCTTAATAAATATTTCTGTATTTATAGAATTGATTAAATTTGTACCTCCAATCAGATTTCCAAGCATTTTTCTTAAAAGAAATCAACTTCAGAATTCCTTTTGGACTAGGAATTTTTATTTTTAAAGAGAAATGGTATAAAGCAAAATTTCAAAAAAATGAGAGATATTTGTACTATACTCAGCATGAGTATTATTACTTTACTAGCGTATGACATTTTTTTTTTTTTTTTTTTTTTTTTTATGGAATATTTATGAGGTATTGGCAGAAGACATTAAACACTTCTATCTTCTTTCTTTTATTTTCTCATTGAAATCAAGAAGGTACCTTTTCTCCTCTTTCCATGTGATCAAAACAGAATAGTCCATTATTTATGAGGTATTGGCAAGGTGTAATGGTCCTACAAATTAATGAAGAAAGGGAAAAGAGCAATTATAGGATTCTACTTTCAAGTACATTTTAATAACTCATTTTGCAAAGTAAGTCAAAATTAATAAATAAGCATAAGATTTCTTGAATATTCAGGGCAGTACAAAAAAAAAAAAATAAATATACTATTTAATAAATAAATGGACAGCATGCCATTTCCAAATTAATTGTTGTTGTGTGGGGGGGTGCTATGGATAAATTGTCATCTAAATTGTGCAAAAATAAAAATAACACTAACTCATTTTAACAGATATATTTACCAAAATTACACATAAATATCTTGAAATACTTTGGAGTAAACTCAACCACTGCCTCCAGACAACTTTGGAATCTCCTGCAACTCTTTTGGACAGTCTACTTGTTTAAGTTGGTGAATTCTGCCATAATGTTTGCCATCAGTTCATCTTTGATGTTACAAGGAGTTTTGTTGGTCTCTCGCTCAACTGTTCCCCTCATGTAATAATCAAGGAGGTTGCAGTCTGGGCGCTATTGGTGGTGTCATGACAAGGTTTTAGAGGCGACAGTGCTTGTTATTTCTGAAGCTTTGCAGAGCAATAAACTCATTGCCAGTTAGGTGGCCAGATGTAAGGGGGTGATGTGGTCACAGAAATTGTCTGACAACCATGACTGGGTTCTCCTACTTGTGTGGCATGGTGCAGAGTCCTGTTGTTAGACATAGGATCTTTCAGCAGCCACCCTTTTGACCTAGGGCAGCACTATCTCTCTTGCTATGGACCTGATTGACTTGGATGGATCATTTTCGCTCATGGCCTGGATCTCATCAACAAATTCAGTAGTTCTTTTCTTATCAGAACAATCTGAGTGAGTTTTCTGAGCTTCGTAATACTATTAGACTCATCCAACTCTTTCTGAATTTTCTGCACTGTCTTCAGATTGACACTCAAACACTCTGAAATGTTCATATTGGAGCTTACGGCATGAATGCTAAGCAGTACATGCTGTTTCCAAATTTCTGGTGAAGCGAATTGTGTCATAGTGCTTTTTTGTCACAAATGGTCCCCAATTGATTCTATACTGTGCAGTCAACAAATACAAACAACGTGCTTGTGCGAAATTAAAAATATAAAATGGCAACAAATTAATCATTGCACCTTGTATATAACAAATTAATAGATGTTAGAGTAAACACTCTGTTTATTTTAAACAATATTTTGTATACCAGCCAACGTACTTGAGAAAACCTGAGGTCACATTGTCTTTATTACATTTTCTCAAGTATGCCATCTCCTTGCCATAATTTTGCCTTTGTATGACTGGCCACTTGTTTCCAAGTATACCTGTCTGCTAGAGTGGCTAGCTAATCCCTGTTGCAGATGCCTGCTCAGTCATATTTGTTCAACATCCAAATAACCAACTTCTGGTTTATACCCTAACTATGCTGAGCAGAGCTATGTTACAATTTCTGAGAGAGAGCACATAATGGTGTGATCACCAGTTCAAACAAATCCTCAGTCACAATGACTTGTGACTTTGTACTAGCACTAACATTGATGAGTTCTGAACAGTTTCATCTGCCTAATTTAATTCAGAAGGCTTGATCAGCATGTGGTATGATTCATGCCAGAAAATATCACAAGTCTGAATTGAATTTAATGACTATTAGAAACCTTTAGTGCCTCTGTGTGTGTGTGTGTGTGTATATATATATATATATATATATATATATATATATATATATATATATATATATATAAATTTATCAAAGTAAGCTTTGCACTCCGTGTCCTGCCAGAGCATCAGCCAAGTCCAGTGCATCAGAAGTTTAACCTGAAAGGTGATCCCATAACCACCAAGTGCAGAATCAAGCTTCTGAGGATGTCTTCAACTGCCCCATCCCATACAAACAAGTGGTTGATCCAACTGAGATTAGGATATGCATACATAGGACAACTGGATGACAGGTAGTTATATAAGCACCACACTGAGAGTGTTAAAAGCCAGAATATCTCATGTCCTCATGAGAAGATCAATGTTTGAAGAGAGTCCCCAAAACCATGCATCCTCATAACATATATAGAAAAATATTAAAGTCCAGAAGTGAATAAACAATAATTTTATGTATGAAAAATTGACTTATTTTTATTAGTCTTTACTAAGAATAACAGTTACACTCCTTATACTCTGCAAAGATGAAAATCACAATTTCTATTTTTTCTTTTTTGTCACAGGCATCCAGATTTTAAAATGTCTGACTTATTTTTCGATTTATAATTTTTTTTTTTAATAAAAAAAAAAGCTATTCACACAAATACTTTTTAAGATTATTTCTTTCACATATTAAAGGAAATAAATTTAAATTCAAATATTACAGTAACAAAAATATAGTTCTATAAGGCGCTTGTAAAACTTTTTGCATTCTTTATTGTGATTCAGTAACTTTCTAGGTGGTGAGGTGTCCCCACCCAAGTCACAGTATGGAGTCTCTGTTTAATTTTTCAGCTGAAAATGAAATATTTTCTTCTCATGCCTGCCTATTACAGCCCAGATACCTTAGCCTTGATTTTCACTCATGATTGAATATTATCTATTTCAAACATTGAACATTTGGATCAGCCTATTACTGACTATTCTTGTAGTTATGACTCAATATTAAATTGCCAGGCTACAGAACTACATGCATTCTCTTTTTAGTGTCAGAGCAGTGACTTGTATTACAGATTGTGATTTCAAACCTTTTATTGCAGTTTTATTGTCATCAGGCAAATGTGCTGATGACAGTAAGTATCTTTTTTGAACAAATCAACATTTGGGAAATAGTAAAAAGAGGATACACAATGGTTGCTTTTCTTTGAAGACCAACAACACAATTACTTTATATAGGCTCTATGTGCCTTCCTGTTGAAAGATTGTCTAATTAGAACATGTTACTTACTACACAGCATATTTGCATTATCTTGTATATTCCATAATTTCTGATTAGACAAGCATGCTTCTAATTGTAATAACAGATGCTCTGTAAAATCAATATTCATCAATAAAAACATGGCACAATGATAGAATAGTCAGTGTATTGCATACAAATTATAAATATCTTGCAGAATTTAGCAACAAAACTGTTAATTAAGATTGTATTGAAAAATGGAATAAACTACCCTATTCTAAAAATGCTTTACTGTTAAGAAATGTCTTAGGATGTGACAGATGCTACGGAGAGGGAAGTGAAGAAATAGGTTGATTAATTTATAGTTCTTTTTGAAAATCAAGTAACAGTATCATCTTGGTTTAAAACTTTGCACAATGTCTAGAAATTTGTTATCTGATAATTTTCAAGACATCTTTAAAGAGTTTCACTGTGCAAGTTTAAGATAAGCTAGCTTTTAAAACATTTTCCTTTTCAGATATTTTATTTATTTATTGATTCTAAAATAATTTCCCTTTTTTATCTCTTCCAGTTTAGTGTTGTATTTGATGCTGGTTCTTCACATACTCAACTTTACATATATTCATGGGAAAGTTCTAAAGTAAATGGTACTGCTGTGGTCAAACAAACAGCCGCATTCCGATCAAATGGTAAGTACTATTATAATCTATTACTAAAACTACATTTTTTTGTTTAATCTATGTAGAGTGAGTGGCCATGGTTAAATGTAAATAAATGGCAGAACTGCCCAACAAACAGAAGTGACAAAGTTTGTAATAAACAATAACAAGAAAAGAACAGGGCAAAAATAATATAAAGCAAGTAAAAAATATATGGAAGGCAAATTAACAGTAATAAGGCAACAGTAACATGACAAAATGTTCACAAACTAAGAATTGGGGTTGACACACAAGAGCAAATTCAGATGAACAAATGTGATGTTTTGACTTCAAGGCAGACTGGGACTGAGTTAGATGATATTGACAAGTAGGAAGAATCACAGCATACATTTGTGTGCTTCTACCTATAAATTGGAAAGGGGAAAATATTTTGCAATCATTAAGATTGGAATTAGAACTAATAATCTATGTTCTTCAAATGCTACTATAAAACAAATATAGTTTTTGTCATTTTTGATAAAATGATTTTTGATTTTGCTCTCTCGTTGATACAAGTGTGATAATAGAAGTTTACATCCTAGGTATTGGTACTAAGTACCAGGTTAGTGAGTATTCTTCCAACAAAATCATTACTGCTTAATGTAAATATTTATTGTCTAGATGCATCAAAGATTTTGTTGTTTTTTAATTTTATTTGCTTTTTATCTGGAATTGTATATGAAATAACTAGGATAGTGAAGGATTCAAAAACATTAAATCCTTCACACACACACACACACACACACATATATAAACACCTATCCTGACCCCACTGAATCAATGTACTCTACAAGACAAGCCATTGGTCCTGTCCTGGTCCAGTATTACAGGTTCAATCAAAGTCTCCAGTTCACAATGTCGATTTGATTCCACTTTCCTGCCACATGATTTTTTTTGATCCTGGAGAGAAATTAACAAATCGTGGATCCCAGAAGATTCAGCTGGTCTACCTGCAAGTTCGAATTGGTGAGAATCGGGCCAAGCAGAAAAATCAAATATGAACAAGTCGATTCAAGTCCAAAGAAAAATTTATGTATATGCATATAAGGAAGAAATTGGTACAAAAAGAATAATGCTTCTTTTAAAAGAAAGTAGTGTATATGAAATGAAGTTCAGAAAAAAAAAACAAATATTGCAAATAATTCTGAAAAGAGAGAAGTAGTTTTCAGGTTCACTCTTTTTGTTCTTAGTTGCTGTAATTATTTCACTACCAGGCTATAAAGGGGTTCACTGGCAGTCTTGCGCCAATATTGCAGATAACTTGAGTTCACTTCCTCCCTTATTACAGCAACAAGCGGACGCTTTCACTCTCACTGCCTGTCACTCTCTCTCTCTCTCTCTCTCTGGTCAACTCACTCCATCCAACTCCAATTCTAACTTCAACTTCAATTGTTTTCACATAAACATGCACTTAAATAAACGTGGTGGTAGCAACGAACCCCGGGGTGTTGGTAAACTTAGAATACAACCTGATTACTGACCTCACCCCCTTCATGATTAAATGAACCGTTTCTTCTTCTCAATTGGTATTCCATAGGTTGTATAAACACTATTGTTTTGACATTTTATATTAATAATTCTGACGAAGCACAAATTCTCTGAGCACAAACTTTACCACTGATTATTTTTCTCATCTATAAATAAAATTCTATATTACTATAATTACTAATATTTCAAGGGTGACCATTGCTCTCTGCCACACACACACACACATATATATATATATATATATATATATATATATATATATATATATATATAATCTCCAAACAACTTTATCAAATTTTACTGACAAGATCTGTCTATTCATCTTTTTATTATGTCTTTCTAATTTGAGAATGAGGCATTATTCAAAATTAATTTCTTTTTCTGTTATATTCACATACTTTTGACTATCTCAGTCTTTGCCAAGAACTGGTTGTTATCAGTATGGTAAGCAAGATTTGTTTCACTAATTCTAGTGTTTTTAGATTAGAATCAGTTGCATCATATGCAACAGTTAAATGGAAAAACATGTATTGAATAACTATACATGCACCCCCCCCCCTTTTTTTTTTAAATTAAAAATTTCTAATCTTGTTATTGCCAATAATTCAACACCTCAAAAATCCACCCTGTATAAAAATAATGTTGTTTATGAAATCTCATGTACTTTGGGAAACTGCATCTTCAATATCAACAATAAAAAAACAGCATTAAATTTTTACTTTGGACACACATGCACTGCTCTCTCTCTCATTGGTTAACTTGTCGCAATTCTGTACAGTTCATACACATATTGATCAGCTCATCACAAACAACTAAAATACTATTGACAAATTTTAATATAATATTATACAGGACTCACTTTCTACGAAGGACTAAAAATTCCAGAAACCAGTGTAATACAAAAGAAACAACTCACATTAAATATCTTTCTCCACAGGAGATTGTATATTGAAATGTGTATAAAAAAAATGGGGTACACCTGTAGATATTCAATACATGCTTTTCTGTTTAACTGTTACATATGTCATCACTTTGATTCCAATTCCAACATCCTAAAATATCCAGAATTTAGACCAAAAACTCTTGTTTATCATACTGATAACACCCAGTTCTTGAAAAAAGTGTGATAGTGAAAAGTACATGAATATAACAAGAAAAAAAATGAACTTTGGACAATTTATTCATAACTTCAATCCCAATGTACAACACCAAATTTCAAGCAATGGGACCTTAGTCGTTTTGGGGATCCAGATTCAATGGCATGTACATTCCCAAAGGAGAAACACTAAGGTTGCATGCTGAAAAAATAAAAAAACTACAGTGGCTGGTGCCAGTCTGAGAAGAGACAAAAGGGAAAGACTATTATATTTCAAGAATATTTCAATAGACAAAAGGAAAGTTCAGAAAATATGACTGACTATTCTAGTAACTTGACTTCTCTAATAACAGTCATTTTATCTACCACTACTATTTTCAAAACAGAACTAACTAAACACATTTACCATGTTGGCCTGGAAATACTGTATCCACAATTTTAGAACTGTTAAACTTGGAAGGAAAAATTGTGGAGAACTCCATAAATTTTTCAAGCACAAAAGAATATAGTTAGAAAAGGTCCAGTGATAACAGCAAACATGGAGTATGCTGAACAAGACAAACAAAACCTTTAAAATGTTGTCATAACAATGATAATTTGAAAAGTTTTAAACAGTATTGTTTAGGGAGGGATCCTTTATATATACATTCTTCCTTATGTAACACTGTAAAATTTACTTTCCTGTGAAACATTGGTGGTTTGTTACAGGATAACTCTATCAAAAGACTGAGATGTGCCATAGGTCAGTCTATCGGTGTCCTTGTGCCAGGGATTTTTTTAAGTAACACCAACATGCTGATTATGGCTCTTTGGTTATCTATGTCAAAGTTGATATGGTCTTGACTTGTTAGTGACCGACATCATATCAGTATGGATATATGTTGTTTACAAAAGACCTATCTTCATTGCTAGTGGCCATGAAGATATTTTGCTGAAGAGATTTCACCTTATCTCAGCATATCTTGACAGCCATTTGAGAGGTGTTTTGGCTGGTGAACTACTGTTTATTGAGTGGATCTTGTTCACTTCTCTTGACAGATCTCGCAGGCAGTACTATGTATACTGGGCTATTATGATAAAAGAGAAAGGGTTCCATTTGATTCAGGTTTATGCATCCAATGGCAGTAAGGAGAAGTCTGTTTTATATTTTTTTTTTTTTTTTTTATCACATTGAGCCTTTTGTGAGCAAGGGTAGGGTCATTTTAGCAGGTGATTGGAATGATGTCTTTGATCCTGATATAGACCTCACCTGAGAAAGGGTACTTATATTCCTTTAAATGTGAACATTTTTTTTGAAAATTTCTCAACAACTTGATTTTGTCAAGATTTTGAAATGAGCATATGATGTAGGTAGAATGTACTTGGACAGGTAGGGGTGGCTCAGCCTTATCTAAGTTTATTCAAACATAAGCCTGTGTTTTGAATAGGCTATGATAGAAACTTGGTCAACTTAAGAGGTTTAATTACTTACACTAAGATTTAGTTAGTTGAGAGGATTTTTTAAATCATTTCACCTCCTGCAAGGTGATGATGCCACTAGGATGCAGGGGGTTATAGGGAGGGAATGAGAATACTTTAGTGAGAAAAAGAACAATAAAGGAACAGGATTCAGGAAACAGAATATGGTGATTGACATTACATTTACATTACATTTACATTTTTGAAAATTATAAATGGTAGGGAAGCAAGAAATCAGAAGGGAGTTCTACAGACTGTGGGGTGATTAGATGAAAGCAGTTTTGTTTTGGAGGCATTAAAATTTACAAGCCATTCATTGCCCCAATAAACCACTGATTGATTTTTGAGAGCAGTTGGCAGTTTTACTTTGTCAGATCACTCAACCTTGATACTAAGACAGAAGTAAATAGATACAGTGGCTTGCAAAAGTCTACACCCTCTTTAAAAATTCATGTATTTTGTATAATCTAACAGGGAACAACACATTTTTTCAATTCCAATGATTGTTAAATAATAAGCAGATCCATCACACCTTCCTCCGATATAAAAATTACATTTTAAAAATTTCACACTGATTCTTAAAATCATATAACTTATAAAAATGTCTTTGCAAAAGTTTACACACCTCAGATATTATACTGTGTTATCACGTAGTTTATCATTGATGCATACAATCCAGAACAATCAAAAGTGACATGTGCGTTCTACCATAACAAACAAACTTGGCCAGTCTATTATTTTGCTATATAAGGTGATTTAACTGCCTACAAAATCATCTACCACATGGTTTCTTGGTATGTTGGTCTTAGGACTCTGACTGTAAACACAAGGTGTCCAACTCGGGAAAGAAAATAGGCAAGCCTCTGTCTCAGGAACTTAAAAACCTTATTATTCAAAAGTACAATGAAAATAATGGTTATAAAAAGATTGCAAAAACTCTAGAATTGCT